CATACCACAACAAGACCTCCCGTCCTCACGTTTAAATTGCCCCGCCCTCTCCCACTTGGTGGGCCCACTTCTCTCCTTGCCGCTCCCAAAAAAGCGTGTCGGCTGAGAGTTGTGCGTGTTGGTCAATTTGCTCGCTGGAGCGAGCAAATACCAGTGAGTCAATGTGAGGTGCTCCCAACCGGCAAGGACACGAATGACACCATGCAACATGCATCGACCGACCATGATTCCTGCATACAAATAGTGAACATCAGACACCAATGCCCTTACCTCGCTGACCGGACACCCACGGCTCACTCCCAGACACAGGAATCGGCGTGAAGTACTCGATGTCCTCCTAGAATTCTTGTAGCTCTTCACCCCATATTTTTATTCATGTTTCTCCCTGTCAATTAAGACCCCTCTATTGGATTTCCCTTTGGCTTGAGAATGACGGTTGTGACCTCCATAACAATGCCACACTCGTCACCCGACCTCTCCTCTTTCTCCTATGTGTCTTCCTTGCCGATGATAGCAAAGTGGACGACCCCAACGACGGTGATATCCGCTCGATGCCAAGGACATGCGCCGCATGCGAGGGAATATATGTGATCCAACACCCACAACACAATCCGTAAGGACGAGTTTTCTTCCCAACGAAAGCTTCTCTCCTAGCCAAAGATGACATCCCTCCTCGATCTTCTCGTCGGCATCCGCAGAAGCAACTATCCTAATGGTCTATCGGGATTGAGGACACCGGAGCGCCATTCAGATATGCCACCAAGAAAGGCGATGGAGAAGCTCGTTGACCATTGCACATGCAGGGAAGGGGGCAACCCAGTTTAGTAAACTGTAATAACGAGTTGTAGTGTGCATCACAATTATTGCATAAACATGCTTTGATTAATTATAAAAAGAGGATAATTCAAAACCTCATATAAAATGCTATAAAACACACTCAAATAATCAATGCACTGGTATAATCCCGCTAAAAAAATACTAAAATATTTACCATAGTTTCCTTAGGGGCAGTCCTCTCATTTAACTAGGCAGGCAAACCCAAGAAGCAAACACTCATGAGAGACATAAGCATTTTCTAGTGAAAAGAAATAGTGTTGCCAACTAAAGAAAAAAGAAGCATGCATATACTCCCTCTGTTCCTAAATATTTGTTTTTTTAGAGATTCTAAATGGACTACCACATACGGATGTATATGGACATATTTTAGAGTGTAGATTCATTCATTTTGCTTTGTATGTAGTCATTTGTTGAAATCTCTAGAAAGACAAATACTCCTTCCGTCCCAAAATTCTTGTCTTAGATACATCCGTAATATAAGAATTTTGGGACGGAGGGAGTATTTAGGAACGGAGGGAGTAGAACACATGGGCAATGATGTACATCTGATCTTTTCAAAGGTATATGGAGGGACACAAATATCAACATAGAATATGGAATGAGTGGATCAAAGTTGACTGGGAGTAGAATCAATATGCGCAACATCGCATCTTTGAAAGGTTCCAAATACTCGCAGGCGTCATTAGTAACAAGTGCATTTGAATTATCAAATGGAAACAACAAAATATATCCAACAATTCGTTTTCTGGCAGTATAACAGTGTTGGATTCATCGAGAAATACTGAATCATGTTCATCTAGAGCGTTCTCGTCCTCCTGCGACATGGTGACATCTAGGTTTTGCAGGACAAAGCAGGACGCCGAGCTAGTACTTAACCCCAGGAACATGAGACCATGCCTTGAAACTCGAATATTGTTCGCCGAAGGCTGCAACAGTCAGCTTGAGCCTTGAGGCCACACCGAGGGATGTTCTTCTTTCTAGGGCCGAAGATCTTCGCTCTGCTTGTTTCCGGAACCATTGCTTCTCCATGTTTGATCAAAATTATGTGGGTGTCGCCTCTTCCTGAGCACTGTCCCTCTCGCTCATTGCGCCCAAGATAGACGATTTACCCCGGAACATGCAACCACCGTGATGTGGAGCACGCACAAAAACTGAACCACAGAAATGGACAACGTTTTATGGGTAGTCAGCGCATCTAAGTAAGCTAAGTTGAGACGTGTTAGCATCGGAGTCGTTGTAGTATAGTGGCAAGTATTCCCGCCTGTCACGCGGGTGACCCGGGTTCGATCCCCGGCAACGGCGAATTTTTTGTTTCGCGGCCCATGACAGGCCAGGCCGATTCTTTTCGGCCTGCTGAGAGCTCGCCTGGCCCGTCCGGGCCTATTTATCGTATGCACCCTCGAAAAGTATCCCGTTCGCTCTAGAGCCCTGCCAAAACATTTTCTGTCGTGCTACAAATTTGTTGTTGCAATGGCAAAGCATGCGCGTGCGTAAGGACTACTCCCTCCGTTCGGTGAAGAGTGTACATTTGGTTTTAGAATTTGTCAACAAAAAAGTGTACGTCTATCTTCCTAACACACTTTAAAGTAGAAAAAATAATTTTCTTTTATCACATGGCAATCAAGATCAATAGCATTCTACATATGGTCTCCTTAATTTCTACATGCACTTAGTTTATTGGGGGTTGGGTAATTAAAAAGAAGAGAGATGGTAGCTTGCATCTTCCCAATGTATTTTTACTCGCCTCCATAAGTTGCCCTAAAATTTATATATGTACGCTTTTCGCCGGACGGAGAGAGTACTACTACATTCTAGACATTGTCTAAAATGGTTATAATGAATACCATCGATTTTGATAAAAGAAACACTAGTTTTTAGTTCGTGTGTGTTACCCCTGGTTTGTTGGTTTTGCAGCTATATTGCTAGCTCAAATTTAAATGAACCATTGTTATATTTGTAGATCAAATGAGTTAGTATTGTATATTATGCGTTTATGTCGGTCTTTTTCTCTGATTTAACCGGAAGAAATTCTTAGATTTTCGAATTTGGCTCAGTCGATTTCGTTGGGAAGGAAGAAGGAAGCGCGGGGCAGGGCAAAACGCCGTCAAGGCCTCAGCTAGGAACAAATGTACGCGGAGGCGAGTTCAAAGGTTAACGGTTCGGGGTGCAGACTTGCAGAGAAATTTTAGTGGTTCGCCGGTTTAGAGGGATGGCCATGATGGCTGGCGCCAACATGATGATGAGGAGAGTGGGGTGGCGGAGGCAAGCAATTTGGCCGGTGGTCATGGACGGTTTGGGAAAGAAGATGAATAGGGGAGGACAGTAGGTGGAAGATGACCATCTGGTCGTTGGCTGGACGGTTCAGAAAAATCAACCAACCCAATCTTTTTTTTATCGGCCAACCTTTGGCCATCCTTTTTTTTTCTCATGAGTAACTGTGTCAAGGTGATTCTTAAACCCCAATCAAGGTTGGAATATGTTTTTGTTTGTTTTATTCTCTTAGTTGCATAAGTAGAATAGAAATAGAATTTAAGCTAGACTCGTCTTCACTAGAATCATAATCCTAATCTATGCTCATGCATATTGTTAATGTACTACATTCTCCTATCTGTCTGATCGAAATTATGTGAGTGCCGCATCTTCCTGAGCACTGTCCCTCTCGCTTATTGGGGCCAATAGAGACGATTTACTCCGGAACATGCAACCACCATTATGTTGAGCACGCACGAAAAGAGATCTAGAGGAATGGAGAACGCTACGTCTAAGTAAGCTAAGTTGAGTAGCATTAGCATGTACTCCCCTTGTTTCTAAATATTTGTCTTTTTAGATATTTTAAATGGACTGTCATATACAGATGTATATGGACATATTTTAAAGTGTTGACATGGTGTTTTCCACCCAACCCTGCACCTTGCTCCATAAACGATCTTTGAGGTATTTAAAGGCCCCATTCTTCGAACTCCCAATATCTTATGGCATCCCTAGATACTTCTCATTTAAAGTTTCATTGGGTATATTGAGTAAATCCTTTATTTCAGTTCTGGTAGCCTCCGGCACCCCCTTGCTAAAAAATATTGAAGATTTTGCAAAGTTCACTCGCTGACCTGATGCTTGACAATATGTATTCAGTACTAGGTTCACCTCATTAGCTCTTGCACTGTTTGCCTTGCAGAACAGCAGGCTGTCATCAGCGAATAACAGATGGCTAATTGGTGGCGCCGTAGGAGCCACTTGTACACCACCCAGATTGGATGACTCACCCAGATTGGATGACTCACTCTTTGATTTTAACAGGCACGACAGGCGAACAAGTACGAAGATATTGGGTCCCCTTGTCTGATTCCTCTTGAAGGTTGGAATTCCTCCAGTCTCTTCTCATTAAACATGACAGAAAACTGTACAGTAGTGACCAGTCCCATAACTATGTCCACCCATCTCTCAGTGAACCCCAGCTTTACCATGATTGCTCTCAAATATGGCCACTCCACCCTATCATAGGCCTTCATCATGTCTAGCTTCAGGGCAAAAGACTGGTGTTTTTTGGCTTTATTTCTCTTCATAAAATGTAGGTACTCGTAAGCAGTGATGATGTTATCAGTGATTAGTCTGCCAAGGACAAAAGCAGACTGTTCCTCAGAAATAATGTCAGGTAGTACCACCTTAAGGCGATTGGAGATAACTTTGGAAGCAATTTTGTAGAGAACATTACACAAACTAATGGGACGAAACTGGTTCAGTAGGGTTGGATTTTTGACCTTGGGAATCAACACCAATACGGTCTCATTGATGCATGTTGCCGATTCTGTGCCCTCAACAATTTTAAGCACGACTTTGGTGATCTCGTCTCCCCATGTCTCCCGGTGCTGCTGAAAGAAGTGAGCAGGAAAGCCGTCTGGTCCTGGTGCCTTAGTAGGAAACATTTGAAAAAGAGTTGTCTTAACTTCTTCTGCACTGTACGGAGCATTCCACAGCGCATTCATCGCTTGCGTCACTAGTAGAAAACATGGCTTTGGTCACGGGGCAATATTCACATTAGTCCCGGTTCAGTCATGAACCGGGACTAATGTGAGCATTGGTCCCGGTTCGTGCGGCTAAGGCATTAGTCCCGGTTCACCTGAGCCCTTTAGTCTCGGTTTGAGACACGAACTGAGACTAAAGGGTGCGATGCCCTTTAGTCCCGGTTTGTGTCTCAGACTGGGACTAAAAGTTCCATTTTCAAACTCTACCCCCCCTGGATCGCCTTTCTTGTTTTGAAAAAATCAAAAGAAAATGATAAAAACTTCAAAAAATAAAATCCTTCAAGAGGTAGTTATATTACTACATCTACTAGTTAAGAAAATTTAAAAACTGAAATTTGGACATGTTTTGCAAAAAATGTAGGGAAAATG